TCATGCAGATATTGGGTCCAGCGCATCCTCCTTGCATACCTACTACATAATGTCGGGTGTGAATTGTCGCATCGACGATGCTCCCAGAGATCAGCTACTACTAGGAGGGGCTGGGATCTGGCTGCGCGATTCACCGTTGCATAAAGGTATACAGGTTGTTACAACAAGTTTTTCAGGGAGATGATGACAGGCAATATTTTAAGACTAGTGACATTAGAGCTGCACTCGGTCACTACCAGCGTATCGAAGTATACAAATCCAGCTGCATCGAAGGCACGTGTGAGGTTACCGTCGATGACTGCACTGACGGACCACAAGATTTACAAAACCTATAGCAGCCCCTGCGAGATGGTTACCGGCATGACGCCAGCAACTACATCCTGAGACTCACCCACATGACATGGCAGTTCTGTTATATCACTACATGCCATGGGACCCTGACAGGGGGGACTACGTCACGCTGGACATCGGCACATGGGCACCTACGATCGGCATGTTTTAGAAGGCGATCAGTACGAAACTAGTTGTCCAGCCATACGCTTGGACGCAGACCTGTGCATCAGTATGAAAGGCCACTACATGTACCACAGCGAATGTGATGTGGCAAAGAACGCAAGTTACATTACAAGCCTACTGTTACAGGCCGTTCTGAAGGACTTCGTGGACTTGATTGACCAGGATAACCACTCGATTGCACAGGGATAGTGTAAGTCTAGTGGCCCACCCTCCCCAATGGGTTCACACAACAATCGCACCGACCTTCGATTCGATTTAGATGCGCTAAGCGCGTGGTAGCACCACGGAGGAGGTTGACTAGAACACCGCCTCTTAATATCCGTAAGGGCTTCGCTCCCTGCTGTCGGCCTCCTCTCTCGGATCATAAAATCTGCAAGAGATGTGTTGTGAGGCCTGGGCGCCGTCGTGAAGCAGCGTGGGAACTCCGAACGGGGGCCACTGAAGATATGAGCGTGCCCGAATCCACCAACAACTTAAGGAACATCGCAGATGTTGGCCTGTTGAGCCCCTCTTGGGGGTGCTCTTGGAGCGCTCTTGGAGCACCTCGGGCCGTCTTGAAACCATGTTGGGGCGTTGGAGCACTCTTGGGCCGTCTTGGGGGCCTCTTCTACCGTCTTGGGGGCCTTACTGAAGGATTGTGGCCTCGAAAACGTGAATACTGTGCCGTTTACACGGGTTTACGATTTCGGGACCGCACAGAAGGTATACTTTCAGATGGATCGTGGCTTCAGGGGCGGAGGTATTGAGTAATTGACGAGAGGGTATTGCCTCGGAAGCGCGAATGTTTGAATACTTTGTGAGGAACTATGGTCTCGGGAGCGCGAACACAGCGTAATTCTGCGAGGGCTTATGGCCTCGGGGACGCGGATATCGTGTAACTTACAAAGGATTCTGGCCTTGGGGGTGCGAGTCTGGAGTAATTTACAAAGAATTATGGTTTCGGAGGCGCGAGTATCAAGTATTTTCATGTCCCAGGATCCCCCAGAAGTTCTGATCCCCCCCAGGTGGTGGTAACCAGGGCCGTTTTCGGCTCCACCCCTCGCGCGGATTTCAACAACTCTCAATCGGAAGCAGAACGTAACATTATAATGCGGAAGGTTTGAAGCTGGAGTTGGAGCAGGGAGAACCAAGCCTAATCAGCGGAGTCTTGTGGCCCCACCAGGAAGCCAGCGGATTACTTCAGAATCATACGTCGGTGCGCCGTTCGTGACACCAGGTGCAGCATCACCGACAATCAATGCAAAAACACACACAGTCTGTGGGAGAAAAACACACTGTGGGAAACCACACACTGTGGGAAACCACACACTGTGGGAAAACAAGCACACAAAACACATACAAAAAACACACACGGTGGGAAACAACACAGTGTGTGTGCGTGTGTGTGTGTGTTTTCCCACAGTGTGTGTTCTTCCCACAGTGTGTTTTTTTTTTTTTTTTGTGTGTGTGTGTGTGTGTGTGTTTGTGCTGCGTCTGCGGCGCAGCAGGCACGGTGCGCCTTGTACAGTCGGGGCCCTGAAGAAGGAACCCTTTTCGTTGGGGAGGGGCTCCGTGTTCCTTAGTGTTTCGCAGCTTGCCTCAGGTTTTCCTTATGTTTTCGATCGGAATTCGAAGGTTAACTTGTGGAAAAAAGGGGCCTCGTTCCCTATTTAGGGTTCCTGAGGTCAACGCCCCGACTGTACAGCCCTGCGTGCAGGGTACGCCGTCGTTGGCATCTGCCGCCGCGCCTCCCGTGTGCCCCCTCCTCCTCTTGTGTGGCGTGCAGTCGCTCGACCCACCTCCTCCTCCTCCTCCTCCTCCTCCTCCTCCCTCCTCCTCCTTCCTCCTCCTCCTCCCTCCTCCCCTCCTCCTCCTCTCCTCCTCCTCCCTCCTCCTCCTCCTCCTCTTCCTCCCTCCTCCTCCTCCTCCTCCTCCTCCTACTCCTCCTCCTCCTCCTCCCTCCTCTCTTCCCTCCTCCCTCCTCCCTCCTCCTCCTCCCTCCTCCCTCCTCCCTCCTCCCGCCTCCCTCCTCCCTCCTCCCGCCTCCTCCCTCCTCCTCCCTCCTCCGCCTCCTGCTCCTCCTCCTCCCTCCGCCCTCCTCCTCCTCCTCCTCCTCTCCCTCCTCCTCCGCCTTCCTTCTCCTCCTCCCTCGTCCTCCTTGCCTTCTCCTCCTCCCCTCCTACTTGCTCCTCCTCCTCCTCCTCCTCCTCCTCCTCCTCCTTTCCGATGACAACCTCGATCGGTCGGTCTCGAGGCTTAGCCTGACGCACCAGCTGCCCTGTATCATTTCGGCGCACCCTGGTCCTGGGCCACAGCATGTACTCAGGCGCCTGGAAGCTGCACGTTCTCGCACGGGTAGGTAGGCGCGAACCACTTCTGGAGCGACGTTCGCTCCTCCTCCTTTTCGATGGCTTCAGCATCCAGGATGGTTCGCAGGTGGCCTCCTTCCCGCTTCCCCCCCCCTCCGGAACGGGTAGGCCCCCGCTCCAGGGCTCAGCGACGCGTGCGCCAGCCGGTCGCGGCGCGCGATGGATTGGGGACCGCGTTTCGCGGCTGCGGGGAGAGAGAGAGAGAGAGAGAGGGAGAGAGAGAGAGAGAGAGAGAAAGAGAGAGAGAGAGAGAGAAAAAAAAAGGGAGAGAGAGAGAGAAAGAGAGAGAGAGAGAGACAGAGAAAAGAAATAGAGAGAGAGAGAGGGAGGAGGAGGGAGGAGGAGGATGAGGAGGAAAGGGAGGAGAAGGATGAGGGAGGAGGAGGAGGAGGAGGAGGGGAGGAGGAGGGGGAGGAGAGAGGGGGGAGGAGGAGGGACGGAGGATGAGGGAGGAGGAGGAGGGAGGGAGAGGTGGAGGAGGGAGGATGGGAGGAAAAAAAAAAGAAGGAAAGGGGAAAGGGGGAAGGAGGAGGAGGGAGGGAGGAGGAGGAGGAGGGGAGGGAGGGAGGAGGAGGAGGAGGAGGAGAGACAGAGAGAGAGAGAGAGAGAGCGAGAGAGGAAGAAGGGGACGAGTGAAGGAGGAGTGGGGAGGGGCGGCCGAACGGCGATCGGAGGCAGGCGGTGGATCAACCTGTCTATGGTTTTCGGTGGCTTTCGGGAGCATCGCGAGGGGTTTCGACTGGCTTCCAGGTTTCTAGGGGACGAGGAGGAGGAGGAGGAGGAGGAGGAGGAGGAAAGAGGAGGAGGATGATGATGAGGAGGAGGAGGAGGAGGGGATGGAGGTGTCCCGAGATTTAGAATGGGGATCATCATGTTGTTGAAGGCGGGCGGGAGGATGAGTGATGCGTGAGGGGTGGGCATTGAGCAGCGAGCAGTGGGGAACGAGCAGGACTGAGGAGAAAGCGGAAGGGGATGAGCAGGAAGAGGAAAAGGAGAAGGAACAGCGGTCGGATGTTTTGTTCTTTGCATTTATATAAAGAAAAAGAGGTATCAGATGAGGTTGAGGATGTTGAGCGGGTCGAGGAGAAGGAGGGGATTGAGGAGGAGGAGGAGGCGGAGGAAGGGTGGGATGATGATGATGATGATGATGATGCTGATGATGATGATGATGATGCTGCTGCTGCTGCTGCTGCTGATGATGATGATGATGATGATGATGATGATGATGATGAGGAGGAGGAGGAGGAGGAGAAGGAGGAGGAGGAGGAGGAGAGATGTGAGCGAGGAGTGGGGAACGACGACTGAGGAGTGACACGTGTGGCGCGTGGATAAAGCAGCGAGGAGGAAGGGGAAGTCTTGAGGCCACGACCTTCGAGAAGAACTTCTCAGACGCGATATCCAAGGGGTCGAAGCGCAACTCCACGCGTTTCGAGGTGGAGCTGAAAGACCGGCTCGCGCGCGAGCTCAAGGTGCTTGCCAGTCCAAGTTCGAAGCTCGAATAAAAACGAGGAGCCATCAAGCTGACAGTGTCCCACGCGTCTCATGCCCCTTCCCAGCGTGTCTGCCATCAACCTATCCCTCTCTTCCTCATTCATCCTCCCCCCTTCCCACCCCTCCTCATCCTCGTCCTGCCTCCCTTCCTCCTTCTCCTCCCTCCTTCCTGCCTTCCTCCTTCTCCTCATCCTCGCCCTGCCTTCCTCCTCTTCCTCATTCATCCTCCCCCCTTCACACCCCTCCTCATCCTCGTCCTGCCTCCCTTCCTCCTTGTCCTCCCTCCTTTCTCCTCCGCTTCTGCTCGCCTGCACCTCCTTCTCCTTCTCCCTCTTCCCCGCGTTTCCCTCCTTCCTCCTCGTTCTCCTTCTTCTCCTCCCCTCTGACTCCTCCTTCTCTTCCTCCCCCCTCGTCGTCGCCGTTCTCCTCCTCCTCCTCCTCCTCCTCCTCCTCTTCGTCCACCTCCACCTCCTCCTCCTCCTCCTCCTCCTCCTCCTCCTCCGCCTCCCTCGTCGGGCGACCTCAACGAAAGCTAGCTCGAGCAACCTGGGGCCTGGCGCCATTCCTCTCTCCCCGGGACGTGACGCCGCTGTCGCCCTGGGCTGCCTGCGCAACTCCTCCTGCGCCTCTTCCTCCTCCTCCTCCTCCTCCTCCTCCTCCTCTTCTGCCTCCTCCTCTTCCTCTGCGTCGCCTTGTCCTCTTCATCTTCCTCTTCCCTCTTCTTTTCCTTCTTTTCCTTCTCCTCCTCCTCCTCCTCCTCCTCCTCCTCCTCCTTCCATTCCGCCTCTCCACGCGCTCCGTGAGTTCCTCCGTCTGCCGCCGGCCCCTCCTGACGTGCTCGCTCGGCACCCCCTGGCGGGCGGCTCGAAACACTGTGACCAAACGAACAGCGCTCTGCGACAAATCGTCGAGGACGCCCACGGCGAATTGCCGCCGCCTCCTGCCCTTTGAGGATACGCCTATGTGGCCAAACGTTGGGGCAGAGTTTGGCTACGCTGTTGGACCATGCGTCCTCCCAGCTGCTGTGGAAGCCTTTCGGGGAACACGTGAGGGGGGCAGAGGTGCCGTCTTACGGCGTTCCTGGTCCGTCTGACGCCGTCGGATGCCGTCTTGGAAGCTTCTCTGGGCCGTGCTGGGGCCCGACGGCCATCGTGCGCGTATTGGAGGCCTCTTGGGCTGCCTTGGGGCCGTTGGGGGCCGTCTTGGGAGCCTCTTGGGCCGTCCTGGGGCCATCTTGGAAGCCTCTGGGGTGATTTTGGGGCAATGTTTGAAGCCTCTTCGGCAGTCTTGGGCTGTCGGAAGGCAGTTTTGACGGAAATGCGAAAATCCTCGAGCACCTGTGGGACATCACTGATGTTGGCCTCTTTGGGCCTTCCTGGATGCCCTTTTTGAGCCTTCTTGGGCCGACTTCGAGGCCTCTTGGGGGCCTCTCGGGTCGTCCTGGGCCATCTCGGAGCCATCTTGGGCCGCCTTGGTTGCATCTTGGGCCGTCGTGGAACAGTTTTGGACCATCTTGGGCCCTCTTGGGGCCGTCTTGGTCGTCACTGAGGCGTCTTGGAGGCATCCTGGAGGCCATCTTGAGTCATCTGGGCCGTCTTGGATGCGATTCGACCCACGAGAGATGAATTCTCGGCGTCGGCGTCGGCGTCGCCGTCCCCCCCCACGGGGGCCCTGTGGAACCCTGGGACACATTCCATCTTGGGGGTGGGCCTGTGACCCCTCGACCCGGGATCATATGATCCAGGGTTGGACCCCCCCACCTTCCCCAGTACATCTGGGATCGAGCACCCCCTCCCCCGCCAGATTGCTACGCCCGTGAGCCTCGCGAAGGCCATGCGAATGGGATCGCTCCCCACGCTCCACCTGTGGTCGTGGCCCTGTCTGCGTGGCGTCGTGGAGGGTGCCGATGCAGCTCCCTCTCCCCTGTGGGTGTGGGTTGGTTCGTCATCGTCGTCGCCGTCGTCGTGCGTCGGCGTCGGCGTCGGCGTCGGCGTCGGCGTCGGCGGCGGCGGCGGCGTCGTCGTCGTCGTGGTCGTCGTCGTTGGCGTTGTCGTCGTCGTGCGTCGGCGTCGGCGTCGGCGTCGGCGTCGGCGTCGGCGTCGGCGTCGGCGGCGTCGTCGTCGTCGTCGTCGTCGTCGTCGTCGTCGTCGTCGTCGTCGTTGGCGTTGTCGTCGTCGTTCCCGTCGGCGTCGGCGTCGGCGTCGGCGCCCCCCCATCCCATCTGGAAGAGGGGAGGGTCTGTGGAACCTTTGGGCCCATCCCATCTTTGGGGGGTGGGGCTGCGAACCCTCGACCCGGGATCATCTGATCCAGGATTACCCCCCCCCTCCCACTGCATATGGGATCGCGCCTCCCCGCCGGATGGGTACGCGCGTGAGCCTCGCGAAGGCCTCGCGAACGGGATCGCTCCCCCCCCCCCCCCTGTGACTGGGGTCCTGTGGGCGTGTCGGTGCGCCACCCCCCTCTCCTTGTGGGTGTGGGTCGGTTCGTCGTCGTCGTCGTCGTCGTCGTCGTCGTCGTCGTCGTCATCGTCATGCGTCCGCGTCGGCGGCGTCGGCGTCGGCGTCGGCGTCGGCGTCGGCGTCGGCGTCGTGCGTCGTCGTCGTCGTCGTCGTCGTCGTCGTCGTCGGCGTCGTCGTCGTCGTCGCCGTGGGCGTCGTCGTCGTCGTCGTCGTCGTCGTCGTCGTCGTTGGCGTTGTCGTCTCGTCGTCGTCGGCGTCGGCGTCGGCGTCGGCGTCGGCGTCGGCGGCGTCGTCGTCGTCGTCGTCGCCGTCGCCGGCGTCGGCTTCGGCGTCGGCGTCGGCGTCTGCGTCGGCGGCGTCGTCGTCGTCGGCGTCGGCGTCGGCGTCGTCCTCCCATCCACCCCCTGGGGGGGCGGCCTGTGAATCCTGGGACCCATCCCATGTTGGGGGGGTGGCCTGTGAACCCTCGACCTGGGATCATAGGTGGCGCGAAGAGTGGGAAGGGTAATGCGTAATTCTAGACGTTGCGCGAATCCCCACCAGTTGCCGCCTGTCTACTTCGGTTCTCACTGCGGCGCCTATGTGCGTCTGCTTGTGAATTAGTTCATTTTGTTCTGTGCATGTGCAACTGCGCACTTGTTGTGCAGGTGCGAACCGGCTTGCCAACGTGGCGGCGGTGTTCGCAAATTCGCATCGTGCCGCTTGCCCTGGACTTTGCCTCTCGCCGCCAGACCGTTGTCGCGCGGCCGCGACCGAAAAAGAATCCCCACCAGTGGGGCCGCTGTTGTTTTTTCTGGTGCTTCTTGAATGTTACCAGAACACCTGGCCGCCCGCCAGATGCCTGGCAGTCCCCGGCAGTCAGACGGCCACGAGCCGGGAGTGGGGCAGCCCCCCGGCGCGGCAGAGCAGGCTAACGACCGCTGCCCCCCCAGGGCCATCGGGACAAGGTTGGGCCCAGAGGCGCCCAGGTCACCCGGATGCGGCCATTGGCTGGGAGCAGCGAGCGCCCCCATTCAACACCTGGGATAGAGTTTGCGCTACCTTGGCGGCCGTCAGCCGCTTCCTGGCTCTCTGTGGATCCGCCGTCGTACGGACGGCTACCGTCTGCGAGCCAGGAACTTACCCGTACCTCTCCCCAGCGTAGCGGAATTCTCATATTAACCTGTGCGGCCGTCAGCCGCTTCCTGGTTCCCTGGCTCTCTCCCTTTTTTTTGTTCTCTCTCTCTCTCTCTTTTTTTGTCTCTCTCTCTCTCTCTCTCTTTCCACGGTCGATCCGGCCAGCAGCCGCATCTCCCTGCACAGGCAAGGGTGAATCGGCCATCTGCCAGATGCCCCCGCGGTCCGACTTGCACTCAGCAGGGGAACTGGCAGTCTCTGGCGATCCGATTGCCATGAACCGGGAGGCGGACCACCTCCCCAGCGCTGGAGTGCACACTAATGTCAGCCGCCACCCAGGGCCAATTGGATACAGGGTGGGCCGTGCGGGTACAAGGGATACCTAAAGGATGGAAGTCTACCCGCTGTGGGCAAGGAGCGTTGCCATGCCTTTCCCCTTGGCCGTGGAGTTTTTATACTAACCTGTGCGGCCGTCAGCCGCTCCCTGGTTTTCTGCTTCTCTCCTCTCTTTCTCTTCATACGGACGGGACGGCCATCTGCCATTCGCCCCCGCATACACAAGGATAGGGCAGCCATCGGCCGTACGTTCTTGCAGACTGATTCGCTTTAGCTCGTACGGCCACCGGCCGTCCCCTGGCACTGGGCAGTCCCTGTGGGCCCCTCCCACCCTGGCCGGCTGGTGACGTCAGTTCGCCCACGCCACACGAGGGTCTTCATAAGGACGGGGCGGCCAGTTGCCGCACGACCCTGCAGCCTCGCATCGGCTGAGTGGCCAGCCGCCCCCTGGCGCTGGACTCCACTGGTGGACGCCTCTCTCTCGCCGGCCTGGTGATGTCCGTTCCCACCTGCCCGGTCCGCCCTCCCGCGCAATACGCGGTCCTCTCCGTGCGGCGTCCACGACGCACACCCCTGGCCAGGCCCCCTGGTGCAGTGGCTCTCCCTGGGGCCTGGTCTACAATACTCGCCGCAGCCGCCCGTGTCTGGCGTCGACTTCGGGGCCTTGAGTGATGTGTCGCGGAGTGGTGCAGCCTTCCAGCAGACACCGTGGTTCCCCGCTGGCGCCCTGTCGCCGCTTATTCGGCCCGCCACAGCTGTGGCCCTGGCTCTTGGCGCCCTGTGGTGACATGGTCAGTCCGTACCTGGTCACTCATGTCCATGGTGCCTGAGCTCGAATGCGTGGCTTCCAGCTCCTCGTTCCTGGTAGCGCGCCGCTTACTGGGTTGGCCCGGCGGTGGAGGCGCTCCGCTAGTTTGATGCGTGGTTTGCAGATACAGAGCCGATCCTGCTCTCCTGGCGTGCAGGACTTAATTCCACTCTGGTTCAGCCTCTCTCTTGCATGTTGCACCTGCTACCCTGCCCTTCAGCAGACAGCTCAGCCAGGTTCCCATCAGCTGCAGCCC